AAGTAGACCCAAGTCATTCTAGAAAAATCATCAATGAAGAAAATGAAGTACCTGTTGTTATTAAGTGATGGAGTCCTCATTGGTCCGCAAATATCTGTGTAGATTAACTCCAACAAGTCTTTTGTTCTCCAAGTTTTTCCCGTAGAAAATGGTAATCTGTGTTGCTTTCCCAGAAGACATCCTTCACAAGATTCGTTACTCTCCTTAAGGCTTGGTAGATCTCTCATCATGCCTTTTTGATGTAGTAGCTTTAAGGCATGAGTATTGAAATGGCCAAATCTATGATGCCACAACCACGAGTCATCAACTTCTACTTTCATGGCAATGTTAGTTCCTCGATTAAAGCTTATAGGAAAACTTCTATTTCTCTTTTCCATTTTTACTTGGTCAATCTCTAGATTTTTCTTATCATAGATAGTGCATGTATCTCTTTCGAAGTGGAGAGTATATCCTTTTTCCATCATTTGACCAATACTTAAGAGATTTTCTTTAAGATTGGAAACTAGTAAAACATCATTGATAAGTCTCATACCTTTCTTGGTCTTCACCATAACACTGCTTTTTCCATTTGACTCTACCACGGTGTCATTTCCCAATCGCACTTGAACTTTGATGGAGTTATCAATTTCTTTGAAGATGCTTGGATCATTTGCCATATGGTTACTACACCCGCTGTCCAAGTACCATCTTTCTTTTGATTCATTATCAGAACATCCCGTAGCATAAAAGAGATGTTGTTCTCTATCCCGTTCTTTAGCAAAATTTGTTTGTTGATGATTTTTGTTACGACATATTTTCTCTACATGTCCAAATTTCTTACAGTATTGACATTGAGATTTTCCTCGATGCCAACAATCTTTTTCCAAGTGACTTATCTTTTTACATGTGTCAAATGAAGGATATTTCCCTTGAATAGTCTTGAAAAGATTTCTAGGGTTTTCCTTATTCCTAGAAAGTTCTCTATTAATTTTATTTTCTCCATTATGAGATCGTAATTTTAGTTTTGATTGAAAGACATTTTTGACTGAGTCTCATGCCTTTTCAATCTTTGTTCATATGCTTCAAGAGAACCTATTAATTGTGTCATCGATAATGTAGATAACTCTTTTGTTTGTTCAATTGTAGTTGCAATTGCATCATATTTTTGGGGAATAGAAATTAGAATTTTCTCAATAATTTTCTTATCAAGAATATTTTCCCCATAGGCTCTCATCTATCTAACTATTTCTTTTATTCTATAATAGTAGTCTTTTATGGTCTCATATTCATTCATTCTTATTAACTCAAATTCTCTTCTTAGTGAATAGAGTTTAATATTGTGTACTTCATCACTTCCTTGAAACTCCTCTTGTATTGTACTCCAAGCTTCCTTTGCACTTGTGGCACCCATTATTCTTGGAAAAATAGTGTCATCAACTGCTTGCTGAAGAGTGAATAATTCCCTTGAATCCTTCTGTTTATTTTCCTTCAGCTCCTTCCTCTGGGCAACTGTAAGAGTTGAGATGTCTTCTGGAATAGTGAACCCATCTTCTATGACATCCCAAAGATCTTGAGAACAAAAAAATGTCCTCATATTGACTCTCCAAAAATCATAATTTTCTCCCTTGAAAATAGGGACTGGAATGGATGATGTTTGGTTAGTAGTGTCCATAGGTTGAAATTTTTCTTTTGGAAGTAATGTGTAGTGGGATTGGATTTTTTAAGGTAGTCAAAAAATTTTCTCTACGCCCATTAGGTAAGCAAACGTAGCTCTGGTACCACTGGTACCACTGTTAGTATTTTAGGAATGATAGGAAAGATGGTTTGATGTTTAGTAGTGAGATTTGTGTAAAAAATAGTTTTTAGAAAGAGGTGGGCAAATAGGAGAAGGTTTGTATGAAGGAAGATAGTAATTGATCTTGGAAGTGTTACACTTCAAGTGAGGGGTCACCACCTATATATAGGCATGAGACACTCCTCTCTAGAATCTTCTAGGAACTTAAAGATGATTCTTCCTTCATTACACCTTAACTTATCATTCTAGATTTTTCTAGTAATTCTAGAGGCTACTTACATAAAATTTACAATTCTAATAGTCTCTAGAACTTAAGGAAGTTTCTAGAACTTAATTTTCTTGATCTTTCTAGAATTTGCATCACTTTTCAACATTTTTCCTAATGAATCCCACCTCAAAAAATCTAACAGTGGTATCAGAGTCAACGGTTTGTGTGGTGATCAATAGTTTAAGAGTGGTCATTGTATTAAAAGTCTTCATGGTAGTGGATTAGGTAAACGTGTTGCTGATGATGAATGACGGTACATGGAAGGGTTACTAGTGAGTTCAAGGGGATGTACCAATGTGAAGGAATTCACATTTGAGGAGGAGATTGTTGCAAAATCCAAGTGTAAGTCTAGGTCCCACATTAAGTAGGAATGAAAAAGTTAAACAATATAAAAGAAAAAAGACTTATAACCTAATATTTTAAGTTTTTTGGTTGAAAATGATATCAATCCCTTATGTGGATTGAGCTTATGTCTCAATATTATTGTCTCTCCCTGATGAATCCCCTTAAAAGACTCAATATAAACAAAATATGTTGAAATGGATAAATTTTTATAAAAATGTTTTTTTTGTAAAATTGTTTATGTTTTGTTCGTAAACTAGTTAGTTGATATCTTTAAAGATGCAATTTCAAATAAAATATTCTTAAAATGTCTTGTCAAATTAGATTTATGAAATTTATATACACCAACTTGAAAAAAGATGTAAAGATTTGTTTTTCTTTTATTCTCTTTGTAAAAATCATTGTTCAAATTATATCTTAATTATTTGGAATTTGTATAATTCTAAAATATTCTAATTTATTTAATAACATCATTAGACATAACTTTGTATCTTATAAATAGATTATATATATTTTATTTCATATTAAAAAATAAATATATTTTAATTTATATTTTTCAGCAATCTTGATACATTTTTCTTCTCTTAGATACTATATAACTAATCACGCCTATTTGCTGAAATTCTCCTGTGATATTTTTCACTTGTGACACTACCTCTCCCATTAAAATCATAAGCTTGTTGCATATTAGAAGGTTTTCCCAAGTAGCATGTTCTGTACCAATTCAATGCCTCCGCAATACAAATCTTGAGAAATATATTGGTCCCTCTAGAGAATGATTCTAGATTGCATAATCTCTTGTGAATGTAATCTATGCCAGTGTCATTAGTAATTAAAGGAAGTGGAATATATGATTGTTGATGAACCCCTTGGCATGGATGGCTTCAACTGCGAAACATGAGAAATAAAATGAATTCGAGCGGTTGAAGGCAGCAACAAGTTGTATGCAATTTGACCAACACATTGTTTATTAGAGAAATGGCCAAAATATCTCATGCTCAGTTTCTAGTTTTTTCTCAATACAACCGAGTTTTGTCAATAAGGTTGGATACTAACAAACACCATATCTCCAACTTTGAATTCTACATGTCAGTCTTCTCTTATTGATGTGCTCCTTCATATATTGTTGGCCCTCATACAAATTGCTCTCAAACAAATACTATGTTGCAATAGTTCCTAGAATGTTGGAGGACTATTTATATCTATAGCATACTTATCAATCCCGGGGATCCCTGCCATAAACTACCTTAATGTTGTCATACTTGAACTGAGGTAGTATGAAGTGTTATATCGAAATTCAACCCAAGGTAACAATTTCAGCCACATCTTTGGATTTTCATAAGCAGCACAACATACATACATCTCAAAACAACAATTGACCGCTTCATATTGGCAGTTAGATTAGGGGTGATATGCAGTGCTCATAGATAATGAAGTGAGGAGCAAACTAAACATCATTCTCTGCATAATGCCGTCCTTGCATAATTGGTTGGCCAGAGCAGGTCACTGCTGTGCACTGACATTTATTACCTTTGATGTCGCAGATCCATTAGGCTTTTCATTGCTTGCAATCTGTCAAATTATCATTGTCAATTTTGGGAGCATACGGTCAGACTTGAAAATTATCGACACAAAATAATCATACATCTAAGATGCAAAGCCTATTTATAGAAAGCACAGGTTTGAATTGCATAGCTTGCATAACAAAGCTTTTATTTGTTCTCTATATCATACAACACACCTAATCATATTTCTGGAATATAAACAAGATAAGTTACCCCCTCAATTCCGGTTATCTTAGAGTGGAACACACACCAGTACAAACATTTAAACAAAAAACTGCACAAGTAATTATAGAAACTTCATGTCTCACCCTTCTATAATGTTTGGACAGCATTTAAACTTATGTGGATTTATTTATATAACCACGTGCCCTTTGTTTCACCCTTCTATAATGGTTCATGTGACCAAGAGAATTTTAAGAAGCTTCTTTCATATGCTCAAATTAAAACAGCAATTTCATTTTTCAGCGAACTTACAAGACCAGAAGAAACCAAGGCCCTCCCATCTTGTTAAAATATGGTACTATTGCTTTACATTGTTAGGGTTTCCCTTTTAAGAAGCAATCAGCAGGAGAAGGTAAATAGAACAGAACAGTTTGATGCTAAAAAACAAGTATATTACTTTCCTCCAAATTGTTCTGAGAATAACATTTTTTTATTGAAACGGGATAAATCCGTTAGAAACACAAGACATTTGAAGTAAGGGCACAACCTTGGACAAAAGTTTCAAAGATGCCTCTGATAACTCAGCAACATAGTCTGCCAAATCAGTCCTTAGATCATCCAAACTCTCAAGAATCCTCAACTCTCCTCTATTCTTCCTACCACCAAAGAGAGTCATGGTCCGAGAGGGTCCAATAGCATCAAATGTTCCATTCCAACTCAAATATGCATCACAACGTGCTTTACAACACAATGTTTCCACCTTGACTCTTAACCCTCAAGTGCATCTACCATATGTAAAATTTTGTTTCAAGTTAACCATAAAGAACTGAGAGTATTCCAGTTAACTACCTGGCTAGAACTTGAATGGACCAAAATATCCTGCAATTAGTTAGTAGTTCCAAAATATCTGGTTCCTTCGATAATGCTTCTTGAGATATTTTTTTATCAAAGCACCATAAGTCCATTTCCTTTGTGTCTTGAACTCGAAAAATGCTTCAGAACTCATTTGAAAATCCCCTTTACCTAAGGCCTCATACACAATCGGATCTGTTAACAACATTGGAGAATCATCCAAGTTCATTTTGTTTAGAGCAAAGTTCAAGTTCATTCCAAGCTTTCTATCCAAATACGCATCTACTATACACCCAAAAGTCACTAGATCAGGAATGACCTTCTCATGTTCCATATGTTCAATGCTAAGGTGGAGATCCCAGAACAACGCCATCCTTGAGAAGGCTAAAGCACGAATATTAAAGGTGGTAATATCAGGACGGAATCCAAATTCCACCATATGGATAAATTCTCTCTGCAAGCTTTTCATCTTGAAATTGGCAGCATAAGAAAGTAACATAAGGTTCCATAAAAGATTTCCCACATTTTTCCTACCTAGATCCACATCTCTTAGGAACTCACCCAATTCATAGAATTGTCTCTCCTTTATATATGCAGAGGCCATGGCTCGAATCACTTCCCTCTCTATCAGAAATCTTGATTTCTTAAGGCGGCCATATGCATTCTCCATGTCTTTCAAAGAACCAAAATTGCTATAATACAAAACGAAAGCATTAGCAGTTCTAGAAGAGATATAGACACCTCTTGAAGCCATTTCCTTTGCCATATCTTCCATCAACTCAAGCTGTCCTTCTCTTCCAAAACAATAGATAGCCAATGTGTAAACATTAGGTAATATACTGAAATTCCTCATATCCACATAGCGCAGGATATTGATCACTTCATCGAATTTTCCATGTCTTGCATAAGCATCAAATAATCTTGAGATGAACTCAACAGAAGGTATAAAAGAACTATATAGGAGTTGCTCCCATGTTGTCCGTGCTTGAGAAAAGAGACCATTCTCTGTATAATATAGCATCAAAACACACAAAGAAGTCTGTTTTGGCATATAAGCCTCAACTTTGGTATCATGAAAAACCCCATCAGATTGAGGAAACATTCTTATGGTACTACTGTTTTGAAATAATGAAGAGTTTTCTACACTTCTATTCACACCACCAAAAGCTCCTTTCTCATTCTTCCTCCAGATTATCTGTTCAAAACCCATCCCCAAATATGTAAAAATAATAAAAATTAGAAAAGACTAAAATGTCTCTCTCCCAATTATAGATTTTGGTATAATTAACTTTTTATAATAATTGCCTTAACTGTTGACTTGACACTGTAAACTACTAACAACATATAAAAAATAAACTGAAAAGATTTTATAAAGTCAAAGAGTCAAATACTTCAAATACAGAGTGTCTTTTTAATGTGGAAAGCAGATATCTATTGTACATTTGTTGATTTTTACAATAATTTCTTTAACAAATATTCATTATAATTTTTAATTGGTTAAGAGTGAGAATATTTAAATATTAAACTCAAAATTTAGAAGTTGCATAGATGAATTTGGTACCCATTAAAATTGCATTCTACTAAACATAGGAAAAATCAAGATCAAATGCAAGACAAGAGCATCTGAGTGTGTACAAAATATGTTCAACCAATAGTATGTTTAGATCAAATTACTTTCGAAAAACATTTCCCTAAAATTAATAAAAAAATCCTGCAAAGCTGAGAAAGATAATCAGTTTTTAGAAGAAAAATATCAAAATAAGCACTGTGTTTAAATAAATAACAATTGTAACATTAATAAACATGGACACGGAATACTTAACGAAATGATGACAAATTGAAAACCTTGTTATGTTGTCGAGGAGCTCCGTTGGGAGAGTCCTTCAGCAGAATGGACATACGTGAAGAAGGCAGTGTTAGAGACTTGATTTCCATTGAAAACGAGGATGTTCGAAGAAGTGCCCGAGGAAGAACAAATGATATGAACAGTAAGTGAGTGAATCGAAGATGTTTTAAGGCGGAAACATTATCTTTGTTTTGTGTAAGAATGTTATTATCCAGGCCAACCAGTAACTAGAAAAAGGAAGAACCACGTCGTACCATTCAAGCATTGAGCGAGTTCAGCGAAGAAGGCTTGTTGAGAATAGAGGCCCGGGTGGAACGCGACCTCGCCAGAGAACGCGAGAAGGTGGCCCGTGGCGGGCAAAACTCCAACCCCTCCCTCAAAACCCTCCACCGAAAAGCCAACCCGCTATTCGAGCCCGAAGCCTACCACCCAAAAATGCATCAGAAGCCTAACCTTGTCCGGTAGGAGAAAGTGAGAAGTTGTGTGGTGCTGATAGTGGTTGGAAGGTGAAGAAGGATATGGAGATGATAAGTTATACTATAAGTTATAGGAATAGATTTCTAAATAATTAAAAAATGAAAAAAAAAATTATCATGTATACTTCACACTTTACTCTAATGATTATTTATAACTAAATTTAGTTAAATATTCTTACCCGAGGTTCATGTGAGATTTGAGTAAGGAGATACGTAAATCAAGTTCTGACTAACGATTTCAAAGTAATTTCCTTTGAAAAGAATATACACTCACCTATAATAGAAAATCCGATCCTCAAATGAGCTTTTAGATAAGTCAATAATATATATATTTGAAGATAAATGATAAGAAGAGATGTATAATATGATTGAGTCTCTTTATATAGACTTTTTTTTCGTAAATAATACTATTTTTAAAATAACACATCTAGAATATTATTTACACAACTAAGCACTACTTATTATTTACGCATTAAAATAATCGATTATTTTATATTATAATCGATTATTTTGCGCAAGATCAACTCTTGTGCAAGCGAAGAAACTTTAAAATATGTGGTGACCCAAGTTGCGTTATGTGGGTAACTGCGGTGGACGTTTAGCCTGTGGTCAATTCTCGTTCAAGCGATAGGTTACTTCGCTCGAGCGAGAATTGATTGAGTAACTACGTTGGACCATGGTCAATTCTCGCTCAAGCGAGACGTCCATCGCTTGAGCGAAGAAATTTATAATCGATTATAATTTGAATTAATCGATCATAATTTTAAAATAATCGAATATACAAAATTATGATCGATTATTTCTCTCTCGCTCAAGCGAAGAAACCCTTCGCTTGAGCGAGGAGACCTGTAACATATGGGTAATCTCGGGTCAATTCTCGCTCAAGCGACGGGTACTTTCGCTTAAGCGAGAAGTGATTGAAATATGTGGTGACCCAAGTTGCATTATGTGGCTAACTGCGTTGGACGTTTAGCCTGTGTGTCAATTCTCACTCAAGCGAGAAACCCATCGCTTGAGCGAGGAAACCTGCAACTATTTACAATGCTGAGTCACCCACCCAAGTCAGGATTCCCATGTCTTTCTGATGCACACAAGTAAGGAATCCAATGTTGATAACCAATGCAATTAGAGATGTCGAGCAATATTGCGCACAAGATAGCAATATTGAGAGATTATGAAGCTTGAAAGGCACCATACATGCGTTTCGCCATTAATCAGCCAAGACCACAACAAGTTGGGATATAAAATGATTTCCCAAACAATTGGTCAAATAATTGATGTTGATTCGTCAACACCAATCTCCACAATCATAGCCCACATCCAATTAACAACGGGTTACACTATAACATACAGGAAAGTCTGGTTGGTCAAACAAAAGGCAGTGGAGTTCATCTACGACAATTGGGAGATCATCTACGACAATCTGATGAAATCAAATGTTACTTAAGGAACTTGTTGCTAATTGTTTTAATTGATTAAAACTTGTTGTTATCAATTAAAATAACTTAGAAAGTTTTGTGAAAATTTTTGAAGAAACTTATTCTATAGGAGCTGCATAATCCGGGTTTGATTGTTCTAGTTTTTTTTTCTTTGTTTCTTTACATTTCTTCACTATATTATGGGTGTCTAGAAGCTTGAGCGAGAGTTTACCACAGGCTAAAGCTCCAACGCAGGTAGCCACATAGTACAACTTGTGTCACCACATTTTTTAATCACTTCTCGCTCAAATGAAAGTATTGGTCGCTTGAACGAGAATTGACCCGAGATTATCCTTTAGTTTTAGGTCTCCTTGCTCAAGCGAAGGGTTTCTTCGCTTGAGCGAGAGAGAAATAATCGATCATAATTTTATATATTCGATTATTTTAAAATTATGATCGATTAGTTCAAATTATAATCGATTATAAATTTCTTCGCTCAAGCGATGGACGTCTCGTAGTTACTTATGTGAACATGACCTATGATAAGGGCTAGAGCAAGGGAAACAAAGGAAGCTCTTCAAGAAGTATTGTTGGTTAACCAAATTGTGTTTTGGATTAATCAATTAATGGGTTTTAGTTTGATTTTGTTTTAAGTTGTAATAAGGGCCCAATTAAATTTAGTCATCAGCCTTTGGGAGACCAAGGGGTGCATAGCTGATTGACTTTTGGTTGCCACAGTTTCAGATACAATCAGTCATTAAGTAGTTTCAATTCCTAGGTTAATGGATCATTCTTAGCTTTTATTTGTTTCCATTAAATAGTTTTCAATTCCTAGATTAATGGGTTATTATTAGTATTTATTTTCTTTTATTGAGTCTTTTGTAATTATGATGACAACGCTTTTATATCAGCTGAACCATTCTTATCAAGAAATAACAAGTGAAATTTTATTCAGAAATATTAGAGTTTATCTCTTTTATCTTAGTGAGAGTGATTCTCCTAAATTCTTGAGTAATTCAATAACCCTTGGCTGTATCAAAGGACTGTCACATCCTTTGTGTGTTGCCTCCCTTGGGAAGAGTGATTCTTTCCTTTCACCTTCTTTCTAATTTCTAAATCTCTTACAAGGTTTTAACCCTAAAGATCCTAAATTACCCCTTGTTATTCATATCATTTGGTATTCAGAGCTCCGGTTTAAGGGTTTAAACATCAAATTGATGGCAGAAGAGGAAAATTACAATCAAGAAGCAGGAATTAGTCCAATTCAAATGAGAGTATTGGTACAACATTTGGAAGGATTAATGATACGACATAACAATGAGCTCCATGAAAGATTGAACCGGTTGGAGAATAGAAATCCTGAAGGCGAAGAAGAAAGGAGAAATAGGAGAATGAATGATGGAGTAACAAGACCAAGTAGGCTTGAAGGAGTCAAGCTTAACATTCCTCCGTTCAAAGGAAAAAGTGATCCAGAAGCATACTTGGAGTGGGAGATGAAAATAGATCATGTTTTCTCATGCAACAATTATGAGGAGACACAAAAGGTGAGGCTTGCAACAACAGAATATTTTGACTATGCTCTTGTTTGGTGGAACAAGCTACAAAAGGAGAGAGATAGAAATGAAGAGTCAATGGTTAATACATGGACTGAGATGAAAAGGATAATGAGGAAGCGATATGTGCCGGCTAGTTATGCAAGGGACTTGAAATGTAAACTCCAAAAACTTACTCAAGGCAACAAAGGGGTTGAGGAGTATTTCAAAGAAATGGACATGCTCATGATTCAAGCAAAGATTGAAGAAGATGAAGAGGTAACTATGGCCTGATTTATTGGTGGTTTGAATATTGATATATGTGATATTGTTGAGTTGCAGGAGTTTGTTGATATGGAGGATTTACTTCATAAAGCAATTCGAGTGGAGCAACAACTCAAAAGAAAAGAAGTGACTAAGAAGAGTTCTACCAACTTTGGATTTTCAAGTTGGAAGGACAAAGGCAAAAAAGATGGGACTGTTACTTCTAGTAGTTCCACACCTATTCCTACAATGACTCATTCAAAATATGAAGAACAACCCTCTAAAAAAAGTAAAGATGTGAAGTGTTTCAAGTGTCAAGGCCTAGGACACTATGCTTATGAGTGCCCTAACAGAAAAACCATGATTCTTAGAGAGGAAGAATATATAAGTGAATCTGAGGTTGAAGAGGGAGAAAAGAGTGAAGACAGTGAGGAGGAGGAGGAGATTCCAAAGGGAGATTTACTGATGATTAGGCGATTACTTGATAGTCAATTGAAACCTATGGAAGAAAACCAAAGAAAAAATATTTTTCACACTAGATGTTTAATCAATGACAAGGTGTGCATGATGATCATAGATGGAGGTAGTTGCACTAATGTGGCTAGTGCTAGATTAGTATCAAAACTAAATTTAGCTACCAAACCACATCCTATGCCATATAAACTTCAATGGCTTAGTAAGGATGGAGAGGTGCAAGTGAGACAACAAGTTGAAGTGGACATTTCCATTGGAAAATACAATGATAAGGTGCTTTGTGATATTATTCCTATGGAAGTCAGTCATTTACTTTTGGGGAGACCATGACAATTTGATAAAAGGGTTAATCATAACGGGTTCACCAACAAGATTTCTTTCATACATCAAGACAAGAAGATTGTGCTCAAACCTTTGAGTCCACAAGAAGTATGTGAGGATAAAAAGAAAATGAAAGAAAAACCTCTTCAAGAAAAGAGAGAGAAAGAAAGCATTAGTGAAACACTTGAGAGGAAAAAGAGTGATCAAAAGAAGAGTGAAACATTTGAAGTGAAACAGAACTATTTAGCCATAAAAAGTGAGTATAATGTTTGTTCTACATTTAATTTGTCAGACTTATCTCTTTTTAATGTAGATGACGAATCCGATTTGAGGACAAATCCTTTTCAAGAGGGAGAGAATGATGTGGACTTAAAGGCCCAAGCCCATAACGAGAAGGATCAAGACCAAGATCCAATCCAAGACTTAGGTGGACCTATGACAAGAGGCAGGCTCAGAAAAGCACAAGAGGCATTGCAATACAAAGTGACCAATTTGCTAAAGGACCAACTATTAAAAGATCCAAACATGGAGGAGTCTAGACCTATCACATGCATAGAATGTTTGGAGAGCTAGGAGACCCAACTAAAAGATTTAGTTTTTATTATTATTTTATTTGCTACAGTGGGGATTTGAACCCAAGACCCAAAGCTTATAATGCCTTCACTGAACCATTTGGGTAACTTAACTTTGCTTGGGATATTAGGATTTTAATTTATCTTTATTTCCTGCAATGAGACAAACTCATAAACTTAAGTTGTATTAAACATTTGGGAATTCAGAATGAACGTACGTAATATTCAGATTACTTTGTGAGTTGTTACTCTGCTAGGGTTCTTCCTTGCATCACTTGATCTTATCAAGAATTATTCGATTCTTGTGGCGATCCTTCTTGGCTTATCAAATATTCTTATTTGTGGCGCCTACGGTATCTTTTATGTTTTTCTGTTTTCTATTTCTAATCAAATCAATTCTTAAAACTA